GAACATTAGGTACTTCTCTATAAAATTTTGATCGACACTGAAATTTGTATTTCAATTTCGATTTTGAACATCATTTTCTATTCGCCAAATATGTAGAGAACTTGTTTGAATAGCTCACAAGAAAAAAATAAAAAAAATATGGATTTACATTTGAATAGTCCCGTCTGTTAGACGTATGGTTGGTGACAACGTTATATATTTGGAACGTTAGTAGTTGAGGGTTAATATCCGAAAATGTTCTGGTAGTTGAGAAATTTGCCGACGAGTTGGCATGATTTATAATGTTTAGGTTATGTAACCTCAAAAATCAAAAATGTCACTAATCACTTTCCACTTATTCATGGAACATCTCGAATATATCAAAAATATTCACATTCAGGCACGTGGATGTCGAGATCTCATTTACGACCTTTTACTTGTCTACAGAAAATATGAAAAGAAATGAGTATCATTCATTTTGCTCCAAAATGAGATAAACATTTCATGAATATCCGTCTGAATGCTTCGTTTTCAGCACACATTCCATTCGAATATCTATAATTTCAACACAATATCTCATATAGGGTAATAGTTATCTAATGGCAAATTTTGATATTTTGGTTTTTTCAAAATGTCAAAATCTGAGGAGTTTATAGATACGGAGGCCAGGATTGGCGCAGTGGAAGAGCGCCCGTCTCACGATCACATCCGGAAAATTTCTAATAGATTCTACGAATACCACATCGCTGGAAGTGACCTTACCCGAAATAGGACCACAACAAGAAGGCATCACAACATCCTCAGGAAACATGGGCTGATACAAACATCAACCCATGTTCTTAGAGAGCCAGATAATCTATAGTTGGTACCCCCCACAGCCTAGTAACATCAACGGTGCTCTGAGGTGGTCCAGACTGCACAATCTTCCAAAAACGAAAATAAAATAATGTCAGGGCCACTTGAGGAGTGACCAACTAACATTGAACTCGTTCAAACGTGCGGGCGCTCCTGGGCCCGATGATTGGCCCCACAGCCAGAGTCGGGCGCGGAGTGTGGGTAACTAGAAGCGAGTTTTTGTTTTTACGTTCTTGATTCTCCTTCACTACTTTGAAGACCCTTCTCACCACTGAAAGCGATCTATCAGCCCCCCCTCCCCCTGGGTATCCTCAGTGAGGCAACCTATATAAAGTGCCCAGCCCTAGGAGATAGGCCTCTGTGACTAACACCTCGCATACACACCCACATTCCTTGGCCAACATCAACCAACTCGGAGGATCACAAAACACAGAAGAAGTTCTGTTATATGTTTTTTCATGTTTATATGTGTCTGTAATATGCGATGTAACACAGTTGGAACAAAAATAAAATACTTCAATACGGCTCACGACCGCGAGGTCCTGGGTTCGATTTCCATCAGCCAGAGCAAAGAAACTTTTTTAAATATTTTATTTACGAATTGAAAATTGTAAAGTTCCGGAGCATCGGCTGAAGATAGTCCTGCTCGATTTGCTGTTGCGTTCCAATGGAGTTGGTAACAGAGCCTACACTGAACACGCAGAGATATGATGACCTCCTCTAACGGAGGTTAGCGAGGTAGCTGGCAGGCCTGCCACTGCAGCATATGGTAGTGAGTACATCACTAACCTACAAAACATAGCCGAAAAACTCTGAGAGAGAACTGATGGGCGGTACCTGAAGAGGATGTTAGAAAGCTCTCTCAAGCGAACCACATCACTCATTGAAAAAAAAATACCTTGGGCACAGTTTGATGCTTATTGGGGCTTGCAAAAAGGTCCCATCAGGAAAAAGTTGCTGACGTGCAAACATCCTTCACCAGTACCAGTACCAGTATATAGATACGGAATTTCATTTTCTACAGGAAGATCACTCTTGGTTAACCAAAAATTGATGGAAATGAAGTTGCAAAATTTCTCATTATCATCCTGTTTTTCTGGAAATATCTATTGAAGTAAATAATTCCAGAAATATTCTCACACCCATAAATTCTCATTGTTATCTCAAATATTCATTCAATTTCTCCAAAATGGGTACATCATTATGATCACATCAAACATCAGTATATCTTCTTGCAGTCTTTGGAGAGTGTTTGTTTGTCATTCTATATTTTTTTGATATATTTGACAGCTTCTTCAGTTGGGTAAATTTTCGGAGTATCTGTATCTGGGAAATGAGTGAAACACGATTGTCTTCAGTTTTCAAATTAGTGAGTCTCAACTTTAGTTTTATTGAAGGAGGAAGGAAAGCTCAAAGTCATCTCCACAACTTTAATATGAAGTGTTTATTCAACGGGACATGTTTCGAACTTATAAAAGTCCATCTTCAGCCGTATTTAAGAAATTACTAAAAGTAAAGACATGTGGAAATATACAAAATGTTATAAAAATTGTTTTTTGACTTACATGGAGGTGAAACATTGTTTGTTTTAACAATGATGTCGATGTCTCTCATCATAATGTCATTGATGAAGAATAAATAATTTGAAGGAATAAACGGGTTTTCATTAAAAATGAAGGGCCCCGTGCCCTGAGAACGCGCACTTATGAATCAAATCACAAGTCAAGTCCCAGAAGGGAAACTTGACGAACACACAAGGTGCTCAAAATAACCATCTTGGTGTATTACAGGAAAAGGGTCCCGTACCCTTGAGAGAGCGCACTTAAAAATCAAAAATCAATTCAGAATTGATGGGGCCAAAAGCCAAAAACGTGTTACATCCAACCTAAGGTTAGAAACACAGAATTAATTGTAAGAACTTGACATAAGTCAAAGTCTCAATAACATGACATTATGACAAGTGACATAGGACACAGAATAAAAGCAAACAATGGGATGAATGTGAATTCCACTAGAGATAGTCCAGTTAACAATACTCGAACAGAAATGACAATGAGAAGATTTGAAAGGGGGGGGGGGGAGGAGGAACATTCCAACAAGATGGTTAGTAGCAAATCTGAAATTAAATGAATGAATGATGATTCATTCAATTCACTTCAACACTTCATATTAAAGTTGTGGAGATGACTTCGAGCTTTCCTTCCTCCTTTAAAAATTCCACTCCACTTTGAGCAAACATGGACTCCTACCAGAGATTTAGTTTCATTGATTTTTTTGTTGACCTCGCAAAGATTTTTATTCGATTTGTTTTCCCATCAAATGACTATAACTATACTTCATTGGTTATTTCAGTACCTCAGATTATGATACAGGGTGAATTGAAGAAGCAAAGATACCAAAACACGAAACACTCTGAATGTGATATTGTGTTAACATTTTGATCGATGTATTTGGTGATCCAGCTATTTCGGAAAAAGATGCCTATTTGTTTTTTATGCGATTCTTAACTATTCAACTAGAAATAGTAGGTAGGCCTTGAGAATCTGAATATTTCGGATTTTCACACATCCATTATCATGGAATTATTGTTTTGGAATATCCGTCAACGGGTTCGAAATCAGGAGGCGGTGTTGCGAGTTGAAACCGCTAAACATGATTGATTTTTCATTACCCAAACCAAAAAGCCATCTCCCCTTCTTAACGAAAGAAAATATAAACCATGTTTGCCCATACTGTTAGAAATATTATTTCTCACGGCACTTTGCCAACACCACATACAGATAATCAACAAAAATCGACCAAAACCTGGCTGCTGTTCAGCTTTGAATAGTTGTCACAACTGTCAGAAGAAATTTTTAAAATTCTTTAGGGTATATAGTTTCTATTATTGCTTTAGATAGAAATCGTATTTTCTATCCAATATTGTTCCAACAATTCATAATGAATAATATGATGTATATACTGAGATGTGCGATTTTGATGAATATACCATCAGAGACAGAGATAATAAAAAAAGCTGCAAAAGTTGGATTCGTTTCCGAAAATTCCAAGAAAAATGTATGAATTGGCATATTCGTACGAAAAATTTATGGAATATAAAAAAATACAGAAATGAAATCTTTTTCGGAAAGTGAACTTTTTTGAAATACTTTGAGGAACTATAGAAAAGGTGTCTACTTTTTGGTCGAAATATTCAATGTGACTTAGTGCCACATCATGGAATGAATACATACTGATAAGTTTTATTTTTCGGATTATTTGAATGACTGCAGTTGTAGGGAAAGTATAGTGTGCAACATGTGAGGTGAATCACTTTTTTCACTCGTGTGTTTGCATCACTCGCCCTTCAGACTCGTGCCACAAACTTTCGCACTCGAAGTTGAATCTTTCCCACTTGTTGCACAATATACTATTGTTTAACGAGCACAGATTTATAGTGATTTTCCACGATAATGAAGTCTGCAGTAAAGGCCGTAGGCGAATGCTGCAATCATTCGAGTGAAAAATCAGCATTCCGTTTGTTGCTATGCAACGTTCCAAGTAATAATTTGAATCACATTAGTTTTCAAAATTGCCAATGACTTTCGGAAAAAAGAAAATGATTGATTATTTGGAGTTTGCGTGAAATTGGACGAATTTCGAGGACAAATTTTGATTCACACGACAGAGAAGCAGATTTTGTGCTTTCCTGTCTAGTGAAACAAATAACTATTATTTTTTCCGAATAGAGATACTGTCATGCTTTTTGAATTTTCAAATGAATGCATTTGAGTCACACGTCGACTATCATGACTTGATACAAGGAATGGTTATTTGTTGAAGTCACCAAAGTTCAAACTTAGGGTGACTTCTAACAATTAATTAGATTTTCGACTCATCAACAAACTACCAACAACCCAAGCTGCCAGCGATTCAAAAAAGTATTGAAACATCATAATCTCTCTCACTGCAGCATCAGCTTTTTTTGATAGTGAAAGCCTAATGTTGTGAACGAGTTATTCATATTTTGATATTCGTCTTTCTCTGACTGTGGGTTGAACAATTGAAAATCTCAATATTTGTTTTTCAACCATCCATATCCTTATGTTTTGTTACAAAAATCAACATCATGTATCAGTGTAGTCAAATTGAAGTTATCTATATAATAAGTGAAGTTAGGTACTCACTGACATCACTGCCAAGGGAATCACATAAAACAGCACGAAATGAATGATATCGAATAGCTTCGAATTGTACTTCTGCCTATCGAGGACACACAATGTTTCGGTACCGTTTCCAGCTGTAGGATTAGTCACCGTATTCCCCCAGTAGAATTTTGGAGAGCTGTATAGGATGCAGGTTATCCAAACTCCGATGATGATCAACTGAAATATAGAAAATTCATATTTGATATGTTATTCAGTTATTGTGATGGATAAATTCATCCACGTCTGAAATATATATATATATCGAACTAAACTGCGCAACACTATAATTTCGTCGTACTCCAAAATGTTGCCCCTGTGAATAACTTTTTTCTGTTTCGAACAATTTGAATTTGGTTCACACTGTTCGCTAGCCCAGTCTTTCAGCTATAATCGGGTACTTCTTTGACATATGAAGGTCTTAACATAAAATCTCTACATGGCATTTTCCGACACTGTGCAAAATTTTGAAATATCAGAAGGACCCCAAATGGAGAAGAACATTTTTCCTCAACCTGAGGTCCCCCTGAATCGGTTGACGTGAGGAAAAATTATGACTGCAAAACCTGAAGTTGAGAAGTTTTTTGGGTTCACTCTGTAAATAAGAGAAAAAGGAAGAAACTTCGCGGAATTTCTCAAGGTAATGAGATCATCTTCATGCCTCTCTGGGACCAGAGCCTGTACTAGGCATAGCAAGAAGCCAAATTACGTCAGCCCTCGATGAATGGGCGGACAAGGCACTAGGAAAATACTGGAGGAATATCACAAGTTCCATACAAATCAAAATCAAGGAAGGAATAGACATATACGTATTAATAATCAATACGGATGATCTCTATCTGTTTCCATAGCGAAACATGAAGCCGATTCCAGAAGACAAATGACTATCCATAAGGAAAAGTTTTGAAACGATCAGACACATACTGCTTTGATCGAAAGGCTAGTAAACGTCATTGTCCACCGAAACGCATGTCTTTGATGACTACTATAATAGCGCATGGCGCATGCGTATCATGCCACCAAATCCTTATGGTTATTCATTTGTTTCATACTTTTGGCTTCATCCTGGCACCCGTTATGATCCGTATTGGTTATTAATACGTATATGGGAATAGATGCTTGGCAGAGGTCCGCCAAAGTAATCCGCCTCCTCATAGGAGTACTCACAGGACACAACAGGCTAGGCATCACTTATGGGAATAGAGGACAACCCCACTTGCTGCAGAATTCATTGTGGCTTATAGGTTTTAATAATTACTTTCACATAGCTAGAATAATGCCATTAGGTTTCATCATTGCCTCAGTCAAATCCTAATTGGCCTAGCGTGAATTTGGTTTCATGATTGCTTTATGACGTATTTTCAAAGAATTATTTCAAAACCTCTTGGTCAAATTCGAGACACTAATGAAACTTGAGTGTTTCAAGAGGGTTGTTGAGAGTAAATAGTTTTGATAAAGAATTTCAATGACTCTCATAGAGCTCTCTTAGAACCGAAGTGAGCTGAATGCCAAATTGTTTTATTAGATAGTTCTATCATAGTTTTCTCAAAGCCTTTTCATAGGATTATATGGACATAAAGGCCAATATGCTTCTTCCAGGGCATTCATGAAACAGTAGAACAAATTAGACCTATCATTTGCGCTCACATAACCTCTTTAAAGTCTCATATCGAAGCTATTAGGCAGTTAAAATGTTACTTGGGAATATATACTTTGATAACTAGAGAAATAGATTACGCATCATAGATTTGCAATAATATTGAAATCTTTTAAAAAATACATTAGGATAGTCAAAGAAAGAACCTCATACTCAATAATATTCATTATGTATCGTGTGGATATATAGTGAAAAAATAAAGCTTTTGTTTGAATTAGAAATTGAGGAATTCATCAATTCCATAAAATTGTTTATCACATAAGAAAGTATGCAAGTTCTTCTTGAAAATCGTTATCGTGCTACTTGCATCGTTATCGACACAACTACAAATCATTAAAACACCTAATGCCTATACATATTTCGGCAAATTTTGTCAAACCCCAAGTCTAGAGTAGTGTTGGTGGATAGCTTCTTCACTATTCCTCGTGAAATATGGATGCGTCACTTGTTTTTTGAAATTCTGTTTCGTTTTCTTCGGCATACATTATCAACTGAGGAATATACAGACAGGGCAGTGTTAGGATTTGAGATTGTTTGATAGTGGTTCACATGATTGAATGTGTGGGATCTTTGTGAATGGTTCGTAATACTCATTTTTACTGAAAGAACCCCAGAAAATCAATCAATATTGCAAACCAACCCAAAGTAGAGAATTCTCAAAATGTCAAAAGATATGGTTTCTCTCAAGTTTCTTATAATGTAGCAACTAGTACCCAACTAAGAGCATAGTATATCCATATGTGCTTTCCAGGTCAATTTTTGATCTAGGGTTATACCTAAGAATTGTATGGTTACTGTACTATGGATAGAGCGGCTACATACATTTAGGTAGAGATTGTAATCATGTGAGACATTTTTTGGCAGAAAGCGCATGTGGTATGTTTTTGTTACGTTCATCTTCATTCCATTATCTGAACAGTATTCATTCAATTCCTTGAACGCATTATTGCTTGTGACAACAAGATGCTTCGAATTTTCGTTGGACATGAGTATGTTTGTATTGCAGCATAGATAATCATTTCATTTAATGAGAGGCAGGTATTATTGACATCATTAATGAATGTAAATCGAAACAATGGACCAAAGATGGCTTCTGCTTTCAAAAATCAACTAAAAATCTGCTTGACCAATTCTCATAGGGTGAAGTTTATGAAACATGAAGAAACATGGGGAATCCTGAACTGTAGCGTTAGATATATCAAAATCAATCGACCTTGTTTGGCATCAAGGATTTTTTCATGAACTACTATCATACGGCTCATCACCTCAGCTTTCTTGTCTTCTCTTATTTCATTCTTAGACAGATCACTATACATGTGATGATGGAAGGGTACCGTTCGATACCTTCGTCATTAACACGGACGTCCTGCAAGAATCAATTTTGGGACCAACGTCATTCTCATTTTCTATAATGATTATTAGAAATGCTTCTCCTAAGGGGAATACTTACATGGAGAAAAATAATCTTACATGGGCTGGGCGAAGTCTAGCTTGAAGCTTTCCACTGAACCAACAGAAGGCTACATGCCCAGAAAAGCGAAATAACAAATTGGCTGAGACAGACATGAAAGTGAACGAATAAAGAAAAAAAGTGATAATAGCAGGAAAATAAAATACAAAATCGGTGCTCACTTATTGATTGCTAGCAAAACAAATGATAAAATTGTGACAATGAATCTACGACAAGAAGGATGAACTGAATCATATATAATCATATTGCTAATTCATATTTGAACTGATTCATATTATGAACCATGAATTCGTTGAGTGAAATATCATACATTGAATAGCATTGGTGACAAAGCATGGTCAGGATGGTTCTTTGTCTGATATTTTTAGAGTCCATTCTGAATCGAAGAATAATTTTGCTTGCCGGAGCTGGAAGATCGGGTCATTTATTTGGGTTATGAGCAAATGTAGGTCAGGTGAATACCCCTATTTTTTTGAAATATGATCTCATTCTCGGATGCTATAGATCAGTCTACAGCATCTATTTTGGACTCCTCGTATTCTATAAAGAGAATTGCAATAGTTGAAATGGCTCAACACGAGCTATTCGCACAATGTTCGTTTCATTCTGAAACCGAGATAGGGTCGATGAGTTTTGAGTAGGCGGAAGCTTTTCCGAAGGAATTTTTTATGTGCTCGATGGAATGCATGTCAGTGTCTAGTACCAAACCCAAATTTCTTGATGAATCACGAACTTGTAATGAGGTATTATCAATTTGTCGATTATGACTATTCTTCAAGAAGTTAATATAATTTTTCAATTGAAATACAGTACCTTCTGAATATGTCAGAATTGAGTCTCTATTCTATGATTCCTTCTGCAGAAGCTAAATCTCCAATACGAAGGTTGAGAAATAGCTTAGTATCATCAGCAAGAACCTGTACTTCACATTATTTTATTCCATTTAAAATACCGCGGGTATATGTAGAGGACCCACTTTACCAAAACTCGTTCGTCTATATAACAGCGAAGCTTTGGAATTCTTTGCCAATGCTGCTCAGTATGCCTCCTCTAACGGGGGTTAACGTGGCAGTTGTTTAATGCCACTTAGTGAGCGTCCTCTAATGGGGGTAAACCGGTTAGCTGGCAGGCCTGCAAAACACATACGAAAAACTCTGAGAGAGAGCTGATGAACGGTATCTGAAGAAGGTCCTTGCTAGCTCTCATAAGCGAACCACATCACTCACTGAAACACCTTGAGTCTTGCAAAAATGTCTCATTCAGGGACAAGTTGCTGACGTGCAAAAGTCCCCCATTAGTACAAGTACCAGTACTTTGGAACCATATAAATAGACCTAATTCAACAGTACCATCCAGCCCCAGGAATCATCATGGTCAATTTCATTGTACCCAACACTGTTTGGCTCGTACACTCTAACAAAACTGATGGATCTTTTTTCTCACGGCTCAGAGCAGCTTTTCAAGAAACCAACATAAATTCCCGACGTCAACAATCATTCAGCCAACACACTGGACTTTTTCCTCACTAATAACTTGAACGATGGAAACTTGTGATTTTTATAGACCTCTAATCGCAGATTCGTGATAGAGTCTCAATTCAGAATTCATTTCCACGCCCTGTATGATGAATGTCAATTTATCATACACCCAAAAGCATAGATGTCTGCTTGGCAATTCTGATAGCACACACTCATCTCCACAACCTGCCAATTCTTTATTTCATGAACTGCTCTAGAACCTCCATGTCATGTATGGCATTATGACTCAGGAGACTAACCTCGCGACTAGATCCTAACCTCGCGAATAGAGCAGAATACGTTGATGCCAGGAATAACTGCAGCCAAACAATAGATGCTTCGAAAGAAACATACAATGCCAAGATGAGATCGAAACTCATAGATTGTCCTAATGACTCCCGTTCGTTTTGGTCCCTTGCTGAAGCGGTCGGGAGAAATTTCACTGATAGTTCATTGCCACCACTGTCCAAATCCGACGGCACATTAGCAACAACATCGCAGGAGAAAGCAAATATTTGTGCAGAGATGTTCGCAG